TCACAGAGGTCCACCTGCCTCTGCTTCCTGAGTGCTGGAATTCAAAGGCATTTGCCACTACATCTGGCTCCAATGTGTTTTTTTCCAAAAGTTTTATTTTGAGGTTGGAGAGATGGATTAGTGTTTAAGCACACTGCTGCTCTTCCAGAGGACCAGGGTTCAAAAGAGATTAAAAATTAAACATTTTTAAAGTTTCATTTGTTAGTGTGTGTGTGTGTGTGTGTGTGTGTGTGTGTGTGTGTGTGTGCGTGAATGTGGTACACAAATGCCATGGCATACATGGAGGTCAGAGGACAACCCTTGGGAGCTGGTTTTCTCCCTCCATTGTAGCATCTGGGGATTAAAGTCAGGCTGTCAGGTCTGCCTGGCAAAGTGCTTTATCCACTGAGCATCTCACCTGTCTGTCTGACACGCTTTTTTTTCCCCCCCAAGGCCTTGGCTGTCCTGGATCTTGCTCTGTAGACCGGGCTGGCCTCAAACTCAGAGATCGGCCTGCCTCTGCCTCCTAGTGCTGGGATTAAAGGTATGTGCCACCATGACAGGCTACATCCATCATACTTTAAATTTGTATTTCTCTTGAGTAGAGTTGAGCATCTTTTTAGATGTCTTAGAACAATTTGTTACCCTGTCTGCAGACTCTATTCATAATATATGTATTAAATATATATATATATTATATACATATATAAAATAAATTGGTGGTTAGTCTTGTCTCATTTGATTTCTAGAAGCTTTTTATCTGTCAGGCAGACTTTGATGTGTTTTTCAAGGTCCTGGTGCCACACTCTGAATCTCTGCTGGGAAAGGTTGTAGAAATACATTCTTTTATTGAAGCCTGACTCTATTTAATAAACGCTTTTTTTAAGGGCAGGGTCTCATGTAGCCCAGGCTGACCTCAAACTCCCTATGTAGCCAAGGATGACCTTCTGATCGTCCTGTCCCTCTCTCCTGAGTGCATAGATTATAGATGTGTGCCACTTGATTTATGTAGTGCTGAGACTGAGCCCAGGGCTTTGCATATGATATAGATAAGCACTCTGCTCACTGAGCGACAGCCTCGGCTCCAATGAGCACACACTGAGTGCCTGTTGTATACCATCTCAATACAGATGCTCCCAAGAGCGGCGAAGAAGAGACACCATGGTCGTTCACATTCCAGTGGGAACTAAACAGGTTGTAGTCTATAGCAAACTGTAGTGACGGGATTCAGAATAAGTGCCTCAGGGATGTGATGGGGGAAAGCTGTACCCTCTGCCTTCTCCGCACAGTTACTCTCCTATCTGTCTCTACCTAGGGCAGGCTTCTCTCACCTTTCCTCTCCTTGTAATTTCAGCCTCCTGCCCGGATGGCAGAGAACGGTCTAAAGAAGATGACTCCTATAGAACATATTTACAGAGAGCTCGCCACATGCCCATCCTCTCTCTATGGGGCCATGCTGTACACTCGGCTCTCATGTAGCTCCCTTCCGAGCCTGCACTGGTCCTCACTCTCTGGACTGTCTTATCCTGCACTGGATCACTTGCCAACAATGGTTTCTAGCATGCATCTTCTACCTCTCAGGATTGGACTCTCCTGCTGGTGGGGAGACTTACCCTCGGCTCAGTGGGGACTTGCAAGATTGATTGGTGGATGTTTGGGAAGTCCCCACTGGGTAGTGTAGGGAGTGTGGGGACTTCAAAGGTTGCCCAGTCTAGGTCTAAGAATGGATGATATGACAAGCTGAAATCTCAGCACCCAGGTCCAACCAGGAAAGGGTTAAGCTTGCCAGAGTTTTGTATATGAAATGGCACCAGGAAAAAAAAAAAAGCAGAGACTAGCAATTGAGCCCTGTCTCATCCTGGTTCAAATGACATTGTCTGAGCTTCCCCAGCCTGGCCTCCTGCGCTAATTACAGACCTTCCCTGGGGAGGAAGGCCAGGGCCAGGAGTTCCTCATTACAGGCTCCCGCTCTGGAGGGCACAAACCCCAATGACCAAACCCAATGACCAAACAAGATCTCTGCAGGCCCCGGGGTCTGGCTACTGAGCCTCCTGGCTACTGCCTGACTGGGAAAGGGTTAAGCAGTAGCGATGGACTGGAAGGAAAGGCGGATGTAAAATAATGAGAGTGCATGTCCACACAAGTCATGTCTCCTCGATTCCCCCTTCCTGGGTCTCGAGTCTGGACACCTTACTCTTGCCCCTCAAAATGGGTACAGCCAGGGCTGTCAGAGCCTCCCCTCTGTGGCCACTTGTGGGCTGCCTCTCCCTGCGGCCTGTGGAGACCAAGTCTTCTTTAATCTTTCATTTATCTAGAGGCCTCACCCCTCTGAGAGTAGCTTTGATGTGGGGCCTGCTCTTGGGGGTAATCACTGGGTTTCTGAGGTCTCGTCTGGGCTCTGCCCACGGCCCCTTGCCCAGGCCCGGACTGGAGGTCTCCTGACCATCAGAGACAGACCCTGAGGGTGACCTCGGCAGATAGGACAAAAGCTTGCTGCTCAGCTCAGGGGGACATGGAGGGGTTGCTACTTGAACCCCAAAGTGGAGTAGAGGGCTAGGGAGTACGGGCTTGAGGATCGTACGATGTTATCCATCTATCCATCCATCCATCCATCCATCCATCCATCCATCCACCCACCCA